GCTTCTTTTTTGTTTAAATCCAACCCAAAGATTCAAAGAACAGGCCACTGAACGGGCCGTAGCGCAGTTACCACCAGTTCCCACCACTGCCTCCATCAGCCTGATCGATCCTTAATTGACAATTATTTCCTCCTTAAAATAGTTTCAGAGCCCTACACTAGCAAGTACTCCAACTTCGTAGCCTAAGATGTAGCGCTATTTCCTTCAATCCCATTTTTCTCCATTCCCTGAACAATTCTATCCAAAGACAAAAACGTATTTGCCTTCCTATAGCCTAACTGCAATATCCCTTTTCCCCCCAGAGTTAAGGAACATTGGGGTGCCAGAAATAAGATACTATTTTTAAAGTCATTACATGAGAGCAACAGGTATCCTAAGACTTTTATTTCCAGTCTGAAGCCAAAGGCAACTTTTCTATATGGAATGATAGTGAGACCCGTTTGTTACGGAGCACTTCTTTTAGTTGGTCTCCCAGCACTTGACAAAGGTGACAGTTACCTCCATACCCTCTGGCACTGGAGCAACAGGAGATGCAAGATCCCCAAAACTACGTTAAATCTGCAAGTTCCACTATAAGCAAAACCTACTTGGCTTCCTTTGCAGTTCTGGATGCCTGATGGATAAACAGCGGTAAAGATATTTGCATGGTCCCATTCTGCAGCTGTCTAGCAGCAAGGAACGAAGAGAAGTTGGCCAACGCAAACAACTTACCGATATACAAAGAGACTCCGAGAAAGAGTTGGCAATGCAACCACGCAATGATAATGAGCGTATAATTTGTTAGTTTCGTGTCTGGAACTAATATGCAGCTTGGCGAACTGAGTTTTGGAGCCATTATTCTCGAGTCTAAATGAAGCCCTCTAACCCGGTACTTCTAAGGTGCAATGCAGCAACAGCTCCCTCAGTAGCAATACTAGCGAGAAGAGAACTACACTGACGAAACGCTGCTTGTACAGCTACTGAGGGCACCACCACCTCTACCACCACCTCCAGGAACCAACTTCCTCAAAGCTATTATCTCTGGCTTGTTTGTCT